TTAGTAACTCCTCAGTAGAGAAAGAAGCGAAGAAACCCTGGGGAATACCCTGGAACGGATAACCTCTCCAGCAGTGGGGCCAGCGCCCTGGACGAGTTTGTTTTATGTCGGAAAGCCCAACAGGCAGGATTCGACGTGCAGCCATTTCCCGGCGAGAGCAGAAAGTCACCCTACGACGTCCCAGGCAACGCTGTGTACACACGCGATTCCGCTTGTATGCTGTTGTCTTGCAGTGTGAGAAGTAATCGTGGTTGCAATGGTTGCAATGATTATGCTCTAGTTTCTAGCTTTCTTAGCCGCGGTTTCGAGTGACGATAGTGGTGTGTTTTAATGTTTCTTTACTATGCCGTACAGGTTTTTATGGTGGAAGTGTTTATTTTGCCTGACGTTTCGACAGTATCGTCGTTATCAAAGGCCTGAAAGCAGTGTTCCGCCTACTGATAGTGGTGTGTTTTGTGCGAATAAGGTAGCGAAGCCGAATGGGCGGAGCTATTTTGCGGACCACTCGATCGTGCGAACTGTCCCTGAAGTGCTTATTTTGCGGAAGAACCGTAGCGAAATTGGCACACTCCATCATAAGGAAAACTTTTGCAAAATATTACTTCCTCACTTAATTTCTTTCTCTGATACGACCACCTTCCATGTTTCACCTGCTATATTTCTAAGTTTTCCACATTTCTGCAGCTTTTCCCAAAAATGCCTCCGCCTTCGCCACGAAAGAGACCCTGGCCAGCCAAAATTCCAATTTCTTCGGATTAGCCTAGTTGGTAAAAGAGTCGTCTGGAATAGAAAAGAAGCTTGGTGATCAGAATCGGTGCTGAGTTGTCGAATCGGACAATGCATGGAAGTGCGCTGCTTATGTTAATCCTGAGCTCAACCAATAGTTACAGGTGGGGCCCATCCCAAGCGTCCATTTATCACAAATGTGCAGTAGTGAAAGAATGTGCTGTGATATAGGCGGTCATTGCAACTTGGGCCTTGGGTAAGCAAGGTTGGTATGCAACCAACTTATTGCATTGCTCATGTGATAAACCGGTTTTCTACGTCATGATGACCTACTCCTTGGCAACCCTCTTAAGGTCTACCCTAACTATTCAAAAGTCTGGAGGCAGTGAAGGGGCTAAGGCGGTGGCTTCTGTGTTGTCTGGAAACAGTACATTCAGCTGCGAATTACAAACAATTCATGACCAACTGCACAGGAAAGAAAACGCCAAGAAACTGTAAAGTAACCTGGGTAAAAACATGGGTTTACGAGCAAAATCAGGCTGGGTTATCAAGCTGGACGTTCTACAAGGAAGGGCGCTGCTCAAAAAGTATGATGAGCTTGAACAACCGATAATATGATGGCAGAATGTGAAAGATTGGTGCGAAGGACCAAGGAGGGGGAGCGGAAAAAATTCGTGGCTGTACATGGATTCATAAGTTCACTCAGAGTCACTGAAAAAACGAATTTAGTGAAAACCAGACTCCTGGAATTATAGAACCAGCATGAGACGATGATTGTTGAACTCCCTGTTTGAGAGCATTGCTTATTTGTAGATGGTGCCGCCCTTGCGCCCACAACCCTAAGAACACATTACCCCGGATGCGTAATCCACACCGCCTGGGCACGAATCAAACGTCGTTCTTTACGTCTTCGATTTTCTAATTCTCACCTGCGAGCGAGTCCTCTCATCTCCTATACATGGAAAAAACGGATCATTGCTCACAAACACGGCGTAGGCTGATTTTTGTATATAAAATTTGTACCAATATGTAGATACACAAAAGTATTCAGCATGTATAAGAACGTTCCTCGTCTGCCATGTCACCTAAACTCTCGTGTTAGATGCCTGAAGCTCTCCTTCAGCCCTTTTATCTGTGTCACATTTCATACTTATCATGATATAATTATTATATAATTATATTATTATATTATTATATTATATTATTATATTATTATATAATTATAATTCTCTTCTTGCATTTATTTTTACATCCAAGCTGTAATTTTGCGAGTATCCTTTTAAAAAGCGATGCCTCATTAACTTAACCCCCTCATCCGGCCCAGAAATGAGCGAGTAGGTGAAGGGTTAACGCCGATCTTCTAAAGATGCGTATCCGGAAGCCGGAGTCGATAAGCTTGTGCAGTGTTGCCGTGCTCCACTGCCCTTCCTTCCTGTTGTCTACCCCCATCCTCCCCTCCCCCCGCCTCCCTCCCCCTTTTTCCTATCTGTATGCAGGGGGAGGGGGGCCAAAAAGTCACTTTTCTTCATTGACTTTCGAGGAGCTATAAATTACACTTTATTAACTTCTCATCGGACATTTTACCATCATATGTATTAAAGAGCATATTAAATTATATATCTATCTTGCCCACAGACTTCTGGACGAGTGCTATCGAGAGATTCTGGCGCGCGCGACCGCGATGTGGTGTCCGAGATCAGCGAGATAGTCGATTTTTCTGTCACCGTAGACCACCCTATCGAACTCCGCCCGAACCGGGTAATTGAGGTTAGGTCAGGTGACCTACTTGAATATTTCTCCTTCTTTAGGTATTCAGCCCCCTTCCATTCCAAGTCAACGAGAGTTTTTCCAATGCCCTTCGATTCCGTGTGGTGGCACCCAATGCTGTAGCAGTACAAAGTTTCCAAGGAAGGCACGGACGACGACATGTGAGCAGGATATTCTTCACAAGTTGCAAGTAACCGCCAAGCGCCACCTGTATGCCGGCGGTCACGAAGAAAACATTGCGTCTTTCCACTCCAGGTTTAGGCGCCGTCCATACATCCAACCCGCGCCCTTGACGACTCGTGCCCACAGATGACTTCCTTAGACCGTGAGTCGACGTTGTCGCGAGCCGCTGCTGGAGTTGAGGCACTCCCACGAATCGAGAATACTGGTCTCCAGGTAGCTATCCATGGTTAACCCATACTAAAAGTTTCGCAGCTGTTTGGAGGTGACGTGAATTCCAAAGGTCTTCTCCAGGCTGCGACTGGAGATGACTTCATATTTTGGTGTACATGAAGGTGATGGGCGAGAGCCAGCTCCTGCTTGTAGAGGAACATCTTGGGTATCTTCCGCCCTGGTACTCGTATCCACGTCCTCTGTCTGGGCAGCGAAAACTTTGCTGATATGTGACTCGGTCAAAATGACTTTTTGGCCCTCCCCCTGTATAATTAAGGATTGAGTAGCGGAATAAAATGGCAATTTAAAGGTGATCGAGAACCGCACGCGTGTTTCCACTTCAATCTCATCGCACACACTAGCGTGCAGATTGCACCAATCGCTGTGAAAAGTGGGGGGGGTCGCTTCAAAAGGTACTCGAAGAGGGGGGGGGGCAAATGTGGCACATTTTTTTCTGGCGTCACGACTTTCCCTGGCCGCGCTACACCCTCTTTAGTTTTACACAAAAATCTTTGGCCCCTAACACCACTACGCATTCAGTAATGATTGCCGATGTTGTAGAAGACTCAGGCCTTTTCATTGTAGTGCTCCCTGATTTCTTCTGTTGTTAATCTTGTTCAAGTCTTGTATTTAACAAAAATTTATTCGATTCAGTTCTGCCTAGCAAACCCCAACCTTTCAGCGACAAGCAACTTTTTGAGGAAAATCGATCAAGATATACTGTAGGAATGACAGGCAATCGGTTGCAGTCTGGTTGATAACCCCGCGTCTTTAAGCGTTCACTGAGGGCGAAAACCACCTGTAGTACTCCTTCCTTCATCTTTGACCTGTCAGAGGCAACGTTGGAACTGTGAAATGGGCTACGTGTGCCCACGGATCCCACTCGCCTGTGTTTTCGCATATCCAGTCCAAATATTGACGCACATCAGTGAAGTTGTCCTCCACACCATCTTCGACGTAGTAATCGATTAGGGAATTTATGTAATCTGGAAGTGAACAGTGTACCGCAGTTCCGCTCTACTCCTGTCTCCATTCATACTTGCGCATCATTTCACCTATGAAATCGCATTCAAAGGCACGTAAGTCCGTTATGGCTAATAGGTGGGGGGCTTGTCAGTGCCTTGTGGTTAAGGCACACCGCTTGCCCCTCTTCTTCAATCAGTCATTTCAGAGCCAGTAGCCGCAGGCGATCGTGCGAAAATACTGACTTGAGAGCGCGACAAAGCCCTCAGCCACTTTTCCAACTCTGGCACGCCCCGAGTAACTCCAGTGATAAGGACTGCACCGCTCACATCGTCGCCATTCGACGGTTAAGTTTTAAGAAACCTTAGGTGGCATTTTCACTCACTGGAGACCTTCTACCCCTACTCCCCTACTGAAGGGAAACAAACCGCGACGCCACGAGAAGGAGGCGAGGTCTTTCCATGCTTTGACAACTTGAATTGCGACGATAACAACTATAATAGGACTAGAAGCGTGGTACAGTTATATCGTTCACTTTGTATCATTTCTCGATAGATGTGAAAGCCCCAAGTCGCTCCTCAATCAGAAAAAAAGCTCCAAATTCTGAGAAAAGTAAATCGTGCAACTTCACGTTCTTCGCACGATAAGCCTCCAGACATCACTCTCCATCGCTACAATTTGTTCTCAATGATTAAGTTTGGAAGAGGCGGAGAGTCCCACTGTCCCCTTGAAAAAAAAGTCCTCACATCCTACTACAATTTAATAAAGATGCCACAGTTTTCCACAAAAAACGCTTCCTCCTCTGACAGAGCCGCATCGCCCTTCCTAGCGTCTCACGGTTCGATCTTCCTTACAGACTCAATACTACGTACAACTCGACCACCGGGCAGCTACCACACTGAAATACTTTTGGTGCTGCCTTTTGAATAAGGCATCTACAATTCAGCTCTCGCAACAGAGGTGACACCCGGACCGTAGTTGCTTCTCCTATCCTTGTTAGCAGCTGGTTAATCTCATGAACAAATTCAGGCTAATGGTGCTAGTTTTCTAGCAGTCGCCTGTCTTCCTCCTCCGCATATGCCCACATTCCAGCTGCAATGATTAGTGGCAATACGCCTTCGGACGAATAGCAGCGGAGAAACACCGGAAGAGCCCGCGATCCTGCTTCTACAGCTTAACTGCGATTTGCTGTCTAGGTTTCTTGGCTAGCTATTGACCCGTGTCTACGGGACTCTTGAATCTCGCACCTATAAAGACTTGCTCAGACGAACAGACGGCCCCCACCTCCCCCTCAGCCTACGCTCTGTCAATAGCGGTGGCGTGAACACCCCCAGCAGCAGCGGCCTTACTAACAAATTGTTGTTCAGGAAATCTTTCATATCAGCATAGTTTACTGCCGTGAGAAACGGCGAGGTTTGGATAAACGTGTGTGTCTGCATAGTGCTATTTCACATCTCCTTGCTTTTACAGGAGGGTGCTACTAAACCAAAACATCACTCTTCATCGACCCAGCGGGATCGTTTTTTCCCGGACCACATCCCGTGAGATCCCGGACGTAGAGACATACACTGGCACACTCCCTGGAGATGGGGTAGGCTTTTGGCTGCGTACCCCAAACTGACACTCGTGGCTGAGAGAGATATTTTCATTTAGGAACAATTATAGTCGTGTCTCTGTCCAACACGGTACGAGATGACAGCTGTCCCAAAGTGAAATATCCCACGAGTACCCTATTCAATGCCACACTCAAATGCCACGCCTACTCCGTCTCAGGGATAGAAAGTATACATTCCGTCAGATTCACAGGCCGACAAACAAAATCAATGGTTTATATAACGAAGTGATACTTACATTGCATATGCCGACTGTTGGAGGCGTTTCCACTACTATGAGGGTGTCTCGTGTTTCTCGAAGTTTCACATCCACCAATTGCTGTCCATCAGGTTCATGCGGAATATAATCTTTGTTCGCTGAAATGTTTCAAGGATTCGTGAGATTTCCAAACTGTTGAAGCACCCAACTGAAGAAAGAGGTTATATAGTCAGGAAGGGTCGAAGCGAGCGTGGCGACTGTTACATTTCCCGAGATAGTGATCCATTTCTCTGCTAACAAGAAGACCTTTATCAAGGGGGACGCTAAGTGTTGCAATCAAGCAGAAAACTTGCGCTTTGTCTAGCAAAGACTTCTCAACTCCCCAGCACACTTCTGGAATCAGCATTACACAAACCGCTGTCAAAAAAGGCCAATGATGCCATCGCCCTTAACGCGGGGACCTATTGGTTTTGTGTCAAGCAATTGTGTCATTCGGCCCAGGATGATGGAACAACTTCCGAAGACTAGTTTTCAGCCAAAACCGCCCGTGCCTTCGCAAAAGAAAGATTCAGTGAAAATCTGATCTCACTGGGGCAGCAATGCCTCAGTTGTTGGCTTGTGAGTCGGGTTTCTCGCGCCACGAAGTTTGCTGTTAACTATACGACTACAGAATGGATACTATAACCAGAAACTCACGACCAGTGTTGCCAGCTCCAATGGCTTTGAGATTATCGTCGACCACTTGTTCTGTTTCCGGCAGACAAATGGGCGTCGCCTCGGTTTCGGGAACATTTTCAGAGAGTTCAATTACCGCTATATCGTTTTCACCGCTACATCTTTCAAACTGCTCATTATAGTAGATCTAAAATCCACAAAATAATGGTGAGGCGGGACAAAATCCATGATTACCGTTCCACACACATTGACTGCCTCGAACCATCTAGATGGGCACTCTTGAGGATAAGCACAGTCGCCACTGCCAACCATGCACAAAATTACAGTTTCTGGCCGGTAATCCCTCCTCAAAGAAACTACTAGATTAGAACGTAATTCCGCCAGAGTTAGCCTTCGATGTCGGAATAGAACCTTGCACATTCTTCTTCTGTTGGATCGCTTACAAAGGCATTCTGAAGCACACAATGAGCGGCAGTTAAAACGTGACGAGGAGAAATCAGTGATCCAGTGCAGAGCCCTCCTACAAACATATTTTTAAAAAGTTCTCGCTCAAAATTCAATCAGCAGAGCACTAACCGCTAGACCTGAGTGTAACTACCCACGGATACTTATCCTTCAGCTTCTGTCCACCAAATGATTTGGCCACGAATTCTGAAATGTAATATATTACTGGTCACTCTGGTGTCATATAAAATACTAACAATAAGTTGTTAAGTCGGCTTAGATATGTCATTTTGTTTCCTATATATTTGCCCCGTAGATGTGAGAAGTAACCTACCGCTGGGAAAGCTGTAGGACCCTCACAAGTCCATAGTTAGCATTCGAGTACAATCCATTATTATGACAAAGGCAAGTGAGAAAAGAGTAAAAGTGGTATCGTGGGCACTCTTTGTTCATTGATAACACCTCGTGATAAGCGATACTTCGGTGCAAGAGGTGTTAGCTCTGTGAGGTGGAGCTGACCGCGAACAAGCGATGCATCACGCACCCAGGTAAAGCTGCTGCTGCTGCTGATGGTGGCTCTGCCAAAAGAAAAAGCCTTCCCAGCGCGCGCTTGCGTCCCGTGCTGGCTGTAGCCGCAGCGATAGCGCGGTGAAACGGGAGCAAAGGCCAATGCATTGCTGAGGCAAGTCAAAGAACAAACTGTTTGGCACCCCTCTGCAGTCCTACGACATGGAGCCAAGGATTTTAACAGCACCGAGATATGGGAGAAGTTGAGAAACATATTCCGATGGTGCAAGCTTCTTTTTCAAGAGAAGGGCCAGTTCTACTGCGAATGCCTTTTTCGTTACTACCACCACCATTACACAGCCGCTCAGAACTAGCGCACTTTCCAGGCACTCCCGAGGTGAAAAGACAGTGTTAGGAGGCAGGGAGCACGTAATAAATGAGAAGGCATCGTTGCTAGTCGGTAGGAACGAAAGTGAGGCAAATCGTGGTGGAAAGAGGAACATCCGCGCAGCGTAAGACGTTTTTCAAATATGCTAATGCAAATTCGCACCAGGCCCTGTGAGACAACGTATGTCGACTAAAAGAACCACGCTCTGTAGACAGGCTCCCTCAGGTTCTATGTACTCATGAGGGATACGATATTTTGTCCTAGAGAAAAAAAAACAACTTTCTCATCGACTGTTCAGGGCGACATTCGATTCTGAAGGTCATTTTCCATCTAATTCAACAATAAATTGTATACGATACTCCGCCAAGCCTGATGCACGAACGCTATCGAGAGATTCTGCCACGCGACCGTGAGTCGGTGCCTGTAACCAGCGAGGTCGTTGATTTATCCGAAGCTGTAGATCACACTGTTGACCTTCGCCCGAACCCGGTAGTCAAGGCAGGGCAGGGCCAGCATTGGTTGGGGAATCCCCATAGGGGGGGTCGTATTTGGCCGCCAGGAGAGGGGGGGGGGTCGTAATGAGTGCGGTAGCCAGTATCGAGCAGCGCAAAGGTGTCAGTGTGCTGAATCCTGTGTAGCGGAACTTGCTTCGTAGAGAACTCGGATATGTAAAAAAATAGTACAAAACTTTCAACCATCAAACTAATCCGAAATAACTGGAATTATTAATAAGTCGACAACATCTCGTAAGTCCGTTGATGACTAAACAGTACAACTCATACTCTGGTTCGTTGCGGATGATGGGGCGTGTCCGCGATCACGCTTGGCGCTGAGCCAACCTGTTTTTTTTTCGACAAACGACAGGACTACCATATCGTTCATATCAGACGTTTTCCAGCAGTTGGTCTCCTTTATCGGAGTCAGCGATTGGTGGAGCACGAATCTGGCAGCGTTGACAGGGACATGTTCCATCATACGCAACGGAAAACACTGTAAACAAGTGCACAGGCTCGCCATGGACCTCCCTGAACCTTATAGACACATTTGCTCGCGTGAACAGACATTACGCACAAGTTGCACCATCCCATCACCTCTGCGCGGACCTCAGTGCGCGGCGCATCCAAAGTCAGCGTGATCGGCGCTAAACGAACCATATTCTGCTCCTGCTCCACCACAGGATACGTTTTTCATGCGTTCCTGGTTATTCGAACACGCTCACTTGAAACGGTACACAGGAAACGGGTTTTTCGCGCAGCTCGGAGTACTGCGCAAGAAATCCCCATCGCCAGATCTCATGAATCCCGAGGACTTCCGAAACAGTTCAATAGGTTTTTAGAAAGAGCAAGTCTTCATACACTCGAATCCGTTCTCAGATTTGTAAATGTTGAGTTATAAAAAAAAATATATTGATTCAAACCTGTTCCTGAAAAAAAATCCCTATCGAATCCCCAAGGCAATTTCTCTGTGATTTTTGCGACCTTCATGAACATTTTAGTACTTTTAGGAAGATCAAACCTTCCTCTACACGAATACGCTTTCCTCTTCCCCATAGGTCCGCTTTTGAGGAAGTTATGGTCCTTCAAAGACACCCTACTTGCTGAAAATTTGTTTCCCACGGCTGGTCCTGCCCAGAATTCCCTTCCTCTTGGTACCTCGGCGCCGATTCAAACGGGTGCGCGCGGGAAAGTTATTCAAAGAGGTTACCTCGGCTTCGTTTAGGCTGTTATGCATTTCTTTTTGGTTTTCTTTTCTGTTATGACACTTTTTGTATTTTTTTCTTTTCAATCACAGTCTCCTTTATTCGCCTAGAGTTTCAATCCTGCTTTATTTTGGATGCTTTTCGTCGCAGGTTCGAGCTCATAATATTTTTTCTTTTCTTCTTTTTACAAACGGCAAAA